GGCCTGTGGATTGCTTTTTTACTTTTTAGTTTGAATCCTCAGTATTTCTGTGCAGCTTGACCCATTTTAGTTTGCATTCATTTTATCCAGCAGCTCTGAAAGCATTCTGAAATGTATAGCATACATATTGGATTATGTATCTAAATTACACCTAGACATTTAATATTCCAGGGATTAAAGACAAGAATTTTTCCATAATAGTTTCTAGATATTACAGATGCAAGTGTATACAATAAACTAAAATGACAAAGAGTATTTTAGTTACAGTTTAAACTAATAATCTATGGTAATTACTCATTGTTCATAATGGAAATTTGAATCAAAATTTAAGAAGTCTTATAGGGTTAAACTGAAAAATTTTGCAATGCTATACAATGTGAAATAACATAGGAGTTAATATTTTTAGGTTTTAGAATCTAGATCACAGGATATAAGATCTTGGAGCAAACCAAACACATCTGTGCAGTTCCTGATACTGTTCTGCTAATACTAAAAAATATGTATTGGCTTTTAAAATCCTTACAATAACACATCACTTCAAAATACTAACACTATCTTTCTTGGTGTTAGTAATATCTGAAAAATGTATACATTTTTGGAGGGACACACAAGATTTACATTCTGGTGTGCATTCAGGGAATTTGAGTAGTTGGAGAAAACCCATTCTTGCTCTGAATAATATAGGATCGAAAAGAAGTTATATGTCATTCTATTTCTCTGGTTAACGTATTACCTATTATAATTATGCCACTACTATTGCAATCAAGTATGTAAGTACAGCTTTGAGTAAAGAAATAAGAAAGTGAAAGTGTAAGTGAGGAATGAAAAGATTAATTTTAATGGTCTGGCCAGTGAGTACTCTAAAATGAACCACTGATGGAGGGTCCTAAAGGAAAACTATTATAGAAGATTCTTTTATTTTTTTGCCTCTATGGTTCAGATCTATTTTGCTATCTGAATATTTTTGGATTCAGCACTGCATAATAGTTACAAAAAAACAGCCTCCCATTAAAAGATTGCGATACAAAATGTAAAACCTAAATTTTCAACCTAAATTATAGAACATTACACCTGACATCTTTCATCATGATTCATTTGTTTTAAATGGATGAAATTCTGCTCCTTAGGCTTAAGACATTGTTACTCATGAAGGGTAGTAGTTGCAAATTAGGAACTTGGCCTGAATCCTACAGTTTTCCATTCACCTGCATAACTAATGGATTTTTGAAATAATAGTGATGTTAACACTAATGGATTATATTATTACTCTCCACTTATTAATACCTGACATATTCCTCTACACTATGTCTTCTCTCATTGAAATAAATTAACTCTAAAGGAAATAGGGTACAGACTTTTAAGTTTTTTTAGTTTAAATACAAATGTTTAATAAGGAAGTAATTAAATATAAAAAGTTCATTTTTATGTGGTTTACAGGTATTATACCTATAGCCAGAATAAATAATTAATGACAAGATTTCTGTGATAATGAAACAATAAATTTCTCTTCTTTCAGTCAAGGTATTACAACACTATTGTAAACTCTAACTATAAGGGGCAAAGGAAAATCATTCCTTAGGAATGAAGGCATTTGCCAGGTTGTAATAGCACAGTTTTATATAAAATGTGGGAAATATTTCTGCAAAATGAAAGCCAAATTTAAAAAAAAAAGGACCAATGTTAATTCTGTAATTTTAAAAATATACTTTTGAAACATCCCATGTTTTACTAATGCCTTCTAGTGTCTCTGGGGAAATTACTTTTTCCTTAGAGAAAGGGAAGTAAAATACCAATAGGAGAAGTAGGAAAACAGATGGCCTGGAGTTGACTGTGCAATGCCATGTCTCTTATCTCTGCTGAACTCAACTGACCCAAAGGTTCCAGACAATAAACTTCATGAAACGTGAGTTTCAAAAGATGAAGTTCTGTCCTCTCTTCTAATTAGTTTCTCATCAAGTAGAGCAGACCTAACACTATCAATGGTAGGAATTTTTAGTTGCCTTAGATATACAAAATACATGGGAAGATAATGAAAAATAAAATTTTTATAGTGGAAATCAAAGAGTCTTTGTTTCTTAGCCAGGTTTTTCTCTGATTGTTCCAAATAGTGTGGTCAAAATATTTTCTAAATGCAGCCAAGTCTGTCCACTGCCTGAGGATAGCTCACCCTCTCCCCCAGGATAACCACTAATTTTATCACTTGCCAAGGACTTCCCCAGAGGGTGCAACATATTAGGAAAATTAAAAGCAAAAGATAAAAAGAAATAGTATCCTTACCATTTAAAATCAGGCACCACATAAGAGCACTAAAGTTCACGCACACAGGGTGTGGTGGCTCACTCCTACGATCCTTGCACCGTGAGAGGCCGAGGATCGCTTGGGGTCAGGAGTTTGAGACTAGCCTGAGCAAGAGCGAGACCCTCTCTCTACAAATAATGGAAAAGTTAGCCTGACATTGTTGGCACACGCCTGTAGTCCCAGCCACTTCGGAGGCTGAGGCAGGAGAATCACTCAAGCCCAGGAGTTTGAGTTGCAGTGAGTTATGATGATGCCACTGCACTCTAGCCGGGGAGACAGAGCAAGACCCTATCAAAACAAAAAAAAAGCTCATCTGCCTTTTTTAAAATATCAATTTTGTTTAAAGCACATTCCTGAAAGATTGAAGATACCTTCTCCTCTTCCCTGAAAGCCATTCTAGCCACCATTTTGATAAGATTCTGTTTGGTTTTCTGTGCAGAGGTGTGATTATTTGTCTTGTTTCTCAAACCTGGACATCTTTCCCTCTTACTGGTCACCAACTGCAAATATAGCGTATGGCTTGTGGTCCAGGACAGAAAGAAATCAGCCTGAAGACAAATCCCCCTGAGGACCTAAACCTTTTTCTGTTAGTCTCCAGATTACTGCACTTGAAGATCCTTTCAGTGTAAATCTCATAAGAAATATCACATATTTCCAGGGTTGAAATATACACAACTGGGGTGCAAAGATACGGTTACCATAACTATGATGCAACTTACCTCACCTCCTAGAATAATAAGTGCAGAACTGTGGAAAACCCTGGGATGCTGATTTCTTTGAGTTGTAAACAATCTGCCTTGAAAACTGGCTTACTATTTTAAATAGTGACATCACATATCAGAAGGTCAAAGAAATAGGAAGACAGAAACATAGTTATCACCAGAGTAACAAAATATTGTATTTTTTCTTAAGAAACAGCCATTATGTATGCCTCTGTGTTGGCTATAAGGCAGAGATGCTTCCTAAACTCCTCTCAAAAAATCTGCACAATCAAAAGGAAAAAAAACATTCATTTTAATCAATCTTGTGGACCTCTGGGGATCCACCAATGCAAAAAATAAATATTATGTTTCAACCTCATACTTTGCGAAGCTAGTGAATGGCTTTCAGGAACGAAATTATTTATGCACTGCACTGCTTATGTGCATATGAAATGTCAATTTGGAATGATCTAAGTGTTAAGAAATTTATGATCAAAGTAATAATATGGTGTAGTGAGCTTAAGGAAGAGCAATTCCGCTAAATGTACCACTGAGAAATTAATCTTTAATAATATTACTATTTCTTTAGGAAATTTTAAAAATCATTACCCACAACCTAAAAATGACAAACTTCAGGAAGTGGATGAAACGGAAAAGAAGCACCGTCATCAGGCAGTAATATCTACTTGGCCATGCTGTTCATCAGGGACCTCGCCAGGGTTTGACATCCATAAAAGCAAACAGAAGCCACGCTAGTGATAGAAAAGGCAGACCAGATAGACATGCCGACAGGAGACAAACACAGCTAACAAGAGGTGGAAGACCCTGCAGGATCTTCCTATACATATTGAGCCCTCCTTGTGCATTTACAAGCTGTCTCAAGTTTACTTATATGACCTGTAGACAACTCATACTCAAGCGATCCAAAATGTAGCTTTCCAAATCTGAGTTCTTCCCACTTGTTCTCACTACCAGATTCAACTTCCCAATGCACCATTTTGATCAGGTCACCCCTCCCTCACCAGATCCCTCCCCCTGCAGTATTTCCCCACTGTCTGCCCTAAAGATCAAACCACTGACTTGACTCACAAAGCCCCCACATCCCAGCTGCAATCAGCTGCTCCAACTTGATCCCTGGTTCTGGCTATGCTCACACTCGGGTGTAATCAATCTTGTCATCTTCCTGTTTCCTCATAACATTTATCACACATAGAAATTTCTTTCTTCCCTTTTAAAAACATTTGCCCATCCTAAAAGCCCTACACCCCTCATGTTGTGAGGGGCTCCCCAACCAGACCTTCCCAATGCTCTCCCTCCTGCCTTTGAATTGTGGCACTGTCTCTGTACCCAGTTGACACTTGTGCAGACTTTTAAGCTCCTTCCACTTATGAATCTTACCAAATGCCCTGAACGTAGTAAACATTCAATATGTACATTTTGATTGAAACCTGAAACAGTGAAGTATTGGCTAAATACTACAACGAGAGAGTTTTCTAGTATGAGTGAAGATTTCTAGGCAAGGCTGGAAAAACTTACCAAAATGGAATGTTGAGGGAAAATGGAAAAGGTACCATTTCACAGAGAGAAACATGGAGAAAGTTAAAGCCCATTCAATAGGTAGAAACAAGTTTGGCAACGTTAGGATTGAGCCCAGGACATGAGTCTTTCAGCAAGCTCTCTATGGGCTGGGCTGGAATCCTAGTCACTGTGGCATTCTTAGTGATTAATGTAGTACTTGGCCCATAAGAGACAGGATTAATCACTGTGTACTCAATTATCTAATGAATATATAAATAATGTTTTCAGAATCAGAATTTCCAATTTTGTAACTGGAATTTCATTGATACAACAAATTAGACTATCTGTCAAAATGATGCTGTTCAGCAGAACATGTGTATGAAATAAAGGTTAGCAACTTCTTTTGCCCTCAATATTAGCAGGGTGTTCTGACTATATCTATGGCCATCCCCAGAAATCCTAAAGTAAAGGCATGGGACAAAGACATTGAAAGAGAAGGGAAAAGTGTGTGGGGAAAGGGGTAGTAGCATGTAGAGGATAGGAAAGAAGAAATGAGTAAAGGATGTGAGAAATAGAAAAATGCTACTACTCCCAATTTTTTGGGATCTACAAGTTCTGCTAACATGTTTAATGACAGAATTAAAAAAGGTTAAGATAGTTTCAAATAATATTAATACTAAAAATTTAGCACTACCTAGTTTGGACATGCTAAATGATAAATCTAGATCTATTTCTAATTTAACCTAATTTAATCTGGTTGATGGCCCATTACATTAGGAAAAATCACTGGAAATATGAATGTAGTCATTGGTGAGCCTATATTGCTCAGTTATTTATTTTTTATCATGAAAAAAGCACACTCAATGCTCACCCAGAATGTACAGGGTCAACTGCACAGGAAATAGTTCCACATTATTACCATGAACTTTCTGAAAACTGGAACCAAAACACCACCAACTGTTATTATCCACCCCTTTTTGATATTCTTCTATACCAGCTTGGCCCCATATGACTGAAATCATTCTCCAGATGACTTTGTCTTTTGCTTAAATGACAAAATAATGAATAAAATGAAATGGTATGTTTAATTTTATCATTTATTATTCACTGATGAAATTTTATTACAACTTTTTTGCCTATAAAATTAATTGTCCATAACTGATTAAGAAAGAAAAATTAGAGATGCTAATATAATCCATGCTGTGAATTAAGTAAAATATTTATGCATTCAAAAGTAATAGGAAAAAAATAGAACCAAATGAACTGGAAAACATTACTTATCCTACTTTTTGTCTAACTGTAAGATAAAAAGTTTCTTTTCAAAATGCTTTAAGAAGAAAAGGTATTTCAAAGGCAACAAGCATTTAAAAAATTATATTAGCATTTGTTGGGAAAGTACATACTGCTTTTCGTTTAAGAATGCAGTCCAACCTCCAACGATTTCCTTCAACCACTGGGCGTTTCAGGAAGATTTCTGGACTCAGCCTGAAATCACAAAACCAAGATTTCAAGTAACTAAAATGGAATATAAAGTTCTGATTGTGTCATAGAAAGCAAAGGCAATTTTTTCCCAAATGCCATTACCTTCCTCCACTCTCCACTGTGGTGGGTGGTCATTCAAAATTTTGCTACAGATCCAAGTACAACTTCATATGGGAAACAGTCTTTATCCATACAAAAAGTCAATCTCGATTTCTCTTCTCTTTCTCGGTCTCTCTGTTCCCCACACATGCACTCATATACACACACATGCAGATACTGTTGACTGCCCACTCAATAGCCATTCCCCATCTTCTCTTCCTTGCTGTCAGAGCCCATCTCCCACCACAGAGTCCGAATATTCTAAATATTTGCTTTCTCCTTTGCAACTAGAGTATAATGTGACACAATCCTGGACAATGAGATACGTGAGGAGGTACACATGAGAGTTAATGGGAAAGCTATTCCTCCTTGATGAAACACACACACACACACACACACACACACACACACACACACACAAACACTCACAAGGAGAAAGCCCTGCCACACTTCCAGCTTTAGGATGGACATTGTATTGGAGCATGATGCTTAGAGAGGTACAGCAATATTGAAATTCTAAGGAGAAGACCATAAGCCCAGAATCACTAGACCACTCCACCAACCTCAGGATTGCCTGACTTTGTATTTTTCATTAAATGAGACAAACAAATCCTCAGTGTTTAAGCCCTCTTAGTTGAGCATTCTGTTACTCCAAACTGAAAGCATTCTAACTGATACACATATACACTGATTTCCTAAACCAAGGAGCCATGTCCATGGGAACTTAGGGCTTTCTGAGCAGGGAAGAAGGAAGGTATGCTGATATATAAAATTTTTCCAGTGCAAGAATGAACTCCGGGGCTCTTCTCCTTTTAGTAGTGCCATAAGGCAGCTAAGAGTACAGTGAAGTCACTTTTTCCCCTAGGCTTGGCTTCTAAAGTCAGTGTCTGAGTTAAATCTGTATGTGATGTAACTCTCCTGTAATGAAGAAAAATGAATAGTAAGAAAACCTTCCTCTGCTGATCTCCTATACCTGGGGGAGCAGGAGCAGACTGTGTAAGGATTAAAGCCTTACGGGATTCTAGGCTGGAATACCACCTTGCCAGAAAGTCCTCTAGCATGTGAAAACAACAAGGTTTTAGGAGCTAAAGAGATTAAAAGAAATCATGTTTATGCTCTATTTAATTCAGTTTAAAAAAGTAAAAACCAAGAGATTAGGTTTCTAATGGAAACACATATTGGGTAAGATAAATAAGGAAACACACAAATGGAAGAATGTGTACAGTGTAGGTACTTGTATATTTAATTTAGAGTAGGAAACAAACTCAAAGGTAATCTATGTCTAAACAAACAAACAAATAAAACACAGCAATTGATAGGAAAAGTTCAAAGAACAATTAAAAAGAGGTCTATTTTAAGTAGAAAAGCGTATCATTGTACACTGCTAATTCACTGAAGGTGAGGGATATCCAACAACACAGAACACTCAAAATTTTTTGATGTACACACCAATTATAAACTCAGAGAGCCTCAGTTTTGGGGGTACTGTTAATGCTATATTGTGCAATTAAGTCTTTTTCATAATTTATTGTATTTAATCTACAAGCCTTGTGTACCATGTATGCAGAGCATTCTACTAGATACTTTGTAAAATTTTAAGATAGCTCTCAAGGAGTCCTCAATTTTGAGGATAATGACTGATAAAAAAAAGCAATTGATATTCATTCTATAAACAAAGCATAAACAATGGCCACATGGCAAGGAAAAAACAGCTATAACTCACCAAGCATGATATGTCAGGATCTTTACTAAGTAATTATTAATAAAGTACAAAAGAACATTTCACTGACTCTAGGACACGAATGATTATAAGATGCATCATTATTGCATGTACAACTAAGAAAGAAAAAATTATGACAATTAGAACTGTAAGATGTTATTGAGTGTAAGATGCATCTTGATTTCAGAGCTGTTAAAATGCACCTCTAAATAAATGTACTACTTAGAAGATTTTATGACTTCAAGTGCTCATAAGGAAAAGACAAAAATGTTTAAAATGAATGATCAAAGCTTCCATCTTAAAAAGATAGAAAAAGAAGAACAAATTAAACCCAAAGTAAAAAGAAAGAGAATAATAAAGGTAAGAGTGAAAATCAATGAAATGTAAAACTGAAAAACAACAGAAAATTTCAATGAAACCAGAAGTT